CGTGGAAATCCTCATCCTACCTGAGTTTATTTGCCGTTGCCACCTCCAAAATTGCACCTTCGTCACGGGTCAGTGTTTGGTTAGGGCTTACGTGTCAGCGAGGTGGTGGTGGGGTTTATTTATTTATTTTATTTATTTTTAGCCCTACCCCAAATCTTCGGTCACTGTACGCCTCGGATACCGTGGGCTAAGGAAAACCAACGCTGCCTCTCCTGTTGTGCTTCCCCACACTCCCTGCACGTTAAGGAGCGGTTTGATTGCCTAGAGCTTAACGATGGGGACGCTAGGGTTGAGTGTTGATGAGCGAGAATTGGAGGGGAATGCCAACGGGGCAGATATTGCACATGGGAGTCTCCTGTAGAGCACCCAACCGGGACGGAGAGGCTGATAAAATATTGTACGAGGGGCCGGGATGAATCTCCTGGCGCCCAGCTCTCATTCTCGTGGAGGACTTCACCCAGATGTGCGCTGGAAATGCAGATTCGGTTCGGTTTAATGTCTTTATTTGTGACGTGGGAAGCTGGGGAAGGGTCTGGAGGACAAGTCTGAGGAGGAGCGGCTGACAGGAGACCTTCTCGCTCTTGTTGTAGCAAGGTTGGGTCAGTCTCTTCTCCCAAGTAACAAGCGATAGGACGAGAAGAAACGGCCTCAAGTAGTGCCAGAGGAGATTGGATATCGGGAAGAATTTCTTCACCCAGAGGGTTGTCAAGCCCTGGCACAGGCTGCCCAGGGAAGTGGTGGAGCCACCACCCCCGGAGGGATTTAAAAGGTTTTAAATGATGTGGTGCTCGGCGACAAGGGTTAGTGGTGAGCCTGGCAGTGCTGGGTCAGCGGTTGGACTCGATGATTTTCAAGTTCTTTTCCAACCGAAACGATTCCATGATTAAGAGGCAATTAAGATTCCTTTTAAGTGACTCGCGGGGCTCTTAAAATGGGATAAACGTGGCTATCAGGGACACAGGCAGGCCCTCCGCGCCCTCGATGGGGCGATGTCCGGCGTGAAACAGGGTTGATTTTTGCCGTGCCGTGTCCTAATGACCCCCAGCATCTTCCAGTTCCACCCCTCAGCATCCTCATCCCACCACAGCACCCCTTCCAGGGGGATCGGATCCAGACCCCGTGAGGTTTTTCTCCGCGCCGTGCATCTCGTTTGCCTCCCCAGCTTGGGGAAAAAATAATAAAAAAAAAGAATAAAATCCCCAAGCACCTGGAGCTGGCTGCGGCGAGGCAGCTTCAGGATGCCAGGCTGAGGATTTGGATACTTTTGATGCTCTTGCCAAGCCCAGGCAGCACCTCGGATCCTTTCCCTGGAGGATCGCTCCCGGCCGCCTCCCAGGTTGCGTTCGGGCTCTGGCAGGCGATGGTTTTGCCAAGGCAGAGATGTGGCCGACCCGGCGTGGGGGGTAAGCGGCGTCTGCCAGGCTCCTCCGGGGCGCTCCCAGCCCTACCGCGTGGAGAAAAGCCGGGGGCTGAGGGCTTGGAAGATCCTGGGGCTGGAAACTGCTCCCCTGGGGGTCCGTCCCTGCGCTTTGAAGGCTCGGGAGGGATGATCGGGCTGGGATCGAAGGGGTCTGTGCTACCCCGGCTGTTTTTCCACCTCCCTTTGGGAGCGAATCCATAGGGACCGCCAGCGCGTCCCTTCCTTGGGTGTGATTCCTTCAAATCCAGCTTCGTTCTGGTTAACAATTTTAATTTTTTTTTTTTTTTTTTGGGAGTGTGAACTGTTGGAGATGTTTGTTCTCTAAGCGTCCTTCTCGCCCTGGGAAGCTGGACCGGGCGACTCCGTGTCCCAGCGGACGCGTGGGATGGGGTGGTGGGAGCACGGGAGAGTTGTCCTCGCCTCCTGCCACGCTTCGTTTCCCCAATCTCTGGGTTTCCATGGAAACGCAAAAAGCACCAAGAGCTTTTGCCGAGCGGCCTCCTGGTCCACGGATGCTTTGCAGGTGGGAGCACCATCCACCCATGCTGTGATTAGAAATCCCCCCTCACCTTTGTGCTTGCTTCATGGCTTGAAAATCAATTTTATTTTTTTTTTCACAAGGCTTTCCCTTTTTTTTTCTTTCTACTGGGCTGGGGCGGGGGAGACCCGGCTGAGAACACGGGGCGGTGACGGGGCTTTGAAAGTCGTTTATGCAGTGATAATATTGAGCCCCGGGCTTGCTTTGCTCAGACATCAAAGATTTTCTTTATTTCTTTTTTTTGGGCGCTGTTTCCAAGCGTGGGGAGCTGAATCCACCTGGGACTTCCCCCAACCCAGCTCTGGGGCTTGGTGGGTGAGAACCAAAAGCTTCTGTGAGAGGGGGCAAGTGCTGAATCTCAGGGATGCTCAGGTGGGACCAGGGATATCGAAGTGGAACTGGAGTGCTCAGGGGGGGACCAGGGATGCCGAGGTGGGACTGGAATGCTCAGGTGGGACAGGGATGCTGAGGTGGGACCAGCGATGTCG